AACCAAGAGAAGCCTCTTGAGACCAACAACCACATACTAGAGTTTCTAAACAAGTTCTAATCACATTGTCTTTTCAAAATCATGGCTTCAATTGTATTCCAATCTTTTGCTTTATTAAGTCTTGACGAATGTATGTTATTTGAAGTCAAAGTATAACGTTTAGCCAAATGAAAGTTATTTTTATGATGAAAATACGAAACGTCTACCATTTCATAGACTAAATTTGGTATTAATGAATAAGGAGTTTAATTTATACTTGCACTTTTTCCTAAAAAAAAGTAAGGATGTGATTAGAATACAATTGAAGCCATATGATCATGATTTTGAAAAGTTTGTTTTTAAATGTGGTTTCTTAATTGATGCTATTCCATGAATAATTAAGGTAAATACTTATAAATAATTACGATTTGACTTTTCTAGGTTTGAATTCAGTTTTTTCAATGGAAATCTTGAGCCATATACATCATCTCTTGTTTGTAAACTGTAATCGTCTAAGAAAAAATATCCATAAGCAAGCGCTGATGGACCCCACTAATTTTTTTGAACGGGGTGTACATTTAGGTCAATCAAAAAGTCGTAAAATCATTGTTAATGCGGGGAGAAGTCATCGTGATTTGACCCAATAAAAAGTTAATTATGTCAATTTAATGAATAAAATACATTTTTCCAATGAAACAGACCTCGACCTTTTGAACAGGATGCAAGACTATATGTTGCGTTCGACGTGTTTTTAATTGAATTCCACACTATAAGGAATTTTTTTGGGTTTTTGGTTGATTTCTTAAATTTTTTTAATTTTTTGGATTTGATTTTGGTTGTCTTTCATCTGGTTTTTCTAAGTTTTCAATTTTGTTTCCTTATGCATCTAAGATCTTTGGTATTAAATATAATATTTTACAATTTAAAATAACTAACTAAACTAAAATAACATTAGGGTTTGAGCAAATGAAAAACGACTACATAAATTTAATGTAAATCAGATTAATAATTGAAAAAAATAATCAAATTAGAACAAACTAAGAATTTAGAGTAAATAAAACAAATCAATTAATAAAATTAAAACAATTTAAGACAAATAAAAAAAATTATAACATATTATTTGCCTGAAAAAAAAAATGCAAACATGATTCATAATGGTGGACCGAATCATGATAACAAAAACATGTAAAGTTGTAAACTATGATTTTAGGCCCAATGGGTTGTATAAGATTGCGATTTTTGTTTTTATGGTTTTGAAATTGCGTTTTTCATCTTTATAATTTGTAATTTATTTTGTTTTCATTTTTATGGTTGGTAATGTATTATCCTTGAGATCAATTCTATTAAAAATCCATCATTTAATTTAGAGGTATTTTATTTTTTTTGAATTTTTTTTCTCTTTGGTTTCTTTTTTGGTAATTTAGTCTTTTTAATTTAATAAAAAATTATAGGAGTAAATAATCAACTATTTTTAGGTTAATTTTATCAAACAAATATATAAATAGGACTTACAATTGTTTGGTCTCTTAAGTTACTGAATTATACCAAGCAAATGCACATTCTATATAAAAGTATTACAATAAGTTTATAGAATATTTTTAGACATTTTAATAAAGCTTTTAAAATAACGTGTGCAATTAATATATTTTCACATGTCATTTACGGAAAATGACATTTTTATTTGATGTCTTTTCGAATTTGTATTTTAAAAACATATATGTTTATATGTTATTTTTTTTAAAGAATGTTCTTAATGACTTCTAAAAACATTGTATAAATTTATCGTAACACATTATATAAGACATATATTTATTTGGTAGAAATGAATGATCTATAAGACCAAGACCAAACAATTATACGTCTCTAATGAAGAAAAAATAATTAAAATACCCTTATGTGTGGGTATTCAATGGCTTGTACTTGAACGATGTTAGTGGAAGTAATCGAACTCAAAACTCATTTCAAACTGAAACCAAAACCGAGCCTACAATGGTCCTTCACAGACCAGTTACAGAAAGTTGAACAACATTAGCTACACAAATACATGGGACAGAGTACACATATATGTTATGGAGATGATTTCTTATTCCCTTGCAAAATCAAAATGATGATGAAACTAATGTTTCCTTCAATTATTTATGAACCTCGAAGGCCGCATCTTCGAATGACATCTTGGAATCACTAGTAGGAAAGCAGATGAAAGTTGATGTGGCAGAGTCATGGATCTGTAAGCTGATGCGGATGCTCTTAGAACTTCTTGAGAAAGTCGTGAATGTGTGTGTTGATCTTGTCGGGGATTTCTTCAATGATGAAGTGAGCTGCGCCTTCGATTACAACAACATCCTCCAGCAGAGGTACAAAATACTGAAATCCACCCTTGTGTATGTATTCCTTGATGCCAGGCATGTTATACACAAGATCTAAGTCGCCAACAATGAACTTCACCGGTACATTTATTTTAGCCCCGGTCCAAGGTGCTTCCAGTTCCCAGTTTCTGCAAATCAAGATAGAGGTCCAACTTGGTTGTCATCGACAACTATTTCATACCTACTCCGTAAAAGTTAGGAAAAAGTTTTCGTGTTCCACAATTAGATAGACTTGGACCACTCCATTATCTTCTGGAGAGTAACTTGGAATCAGGTATCAGATCCCCAAGGTCTATAACTTTAGGGACTCAATATTCAGGGGTTATCTTAACTCGGGTAGCCCTCTCTTGACGTTTTGGGACAATTTGTGCCCCTAGTGGAGGGGACGAGTTAAGAGTACCACATTGGCACGAACTTCGACCCTTTGTTATATATATATATATATATATATATATATTGGAACCTTAATTCTGCCAATGTCTTTTTTGGGGAATGATATGGGGTTTCATGATTCTCGTAACAAGTACGATGGTTGTAAAAGTTATTCAATAAATCAACAAATAATTAAGAACCCATATAGGGTCTCCCCAGAGCCAATTAAGAGGCCGTTCCGTTAGTTTTCCATTATGGATAAGGTTGTCTGTGTAAATTAATCTATCTATATAGATGAGGAAGGCTTTTTTCTGGAGGGTTGTTTCATAGATAGAACGAGTGTGTTTTTTAATGGAAACCCTGGGTTGGCTTTCTGTATAAACTCCCCTGAAGTTTAATGAATAAACCACTTTTTATAATATTAAGCACTATCAAACAGCATGTATAGCTAACAAACATTCTGTATAACCGACTAAATAAGGTATTAGCCTCGTTAACCTTTTTCTAATTGAGTAGATGCAAAAGCAGCAGGGTACTATTTCAGATTCCCAAAGAATTGCAAAAAAACTTACCGGCCAAAACAACGGTAGTAATTTAAGGCTCCGGTGAAGCCAGTTTGCTCAAACTTTTTGGTGTAATAATCAACATCTTCTTGGGATAACCAAGATGGCAAGATGACTGGAGTATCATCATCATGTGCAGCTCCAAAGGGCTTATCTTTAGGGAAAAAAAAAGGACTTGTATCACGGTGTGTCAAGAACTTCTTTAGAACCTTCTCAGTTCCAAGACTCTCAAACACAGCTTCAATTTCTCCTGCTTCCTATATAACAAAGTGAAAAAGATCAGAGGAATTTCAAAAAGAGAGGGAAAATCAGAGTAATTTCTTGTTTATCCTGAAAACCCTAATTGGAAGGAGAACAAGTATGACCTGAAATTTGCAAACGTAGTGATCATCTCCATATGCAGCACGAAAGATGTCTACGGACGTCCCTCGAGGATTTCTTGGAGCAAACTGAATGCTCAAATTGACCAAAGCTTTAACTTTATCTGGTCTAAACAAACACATGCTCCAAGCAATCATTGCCCCCCAGTCATGCCCAACAACAAACACCTTATCTGCACCCAAGGCGTCAATGAGTGCAACAAGATCCCCAACCACGTGCAGGCTAGTGAACTTGGAAGGATCGTCGACAGGTACACCGGTGGTGTCTCCGTAGCCACGAAGGTCAGGGGCGACGGCACGGTAGCCCTGGGCGGCGAGGTAGACGATTTGGTGACGCCAAGCGTACCAGAGCTGGGGGAAACCGTGGATCAGTAGTACAACAGGGCCTTCACCCATCTCTGCAACATGCATGTTGATGCCATTGACGCTTATCATCTTGTGATCTATCCCTTCCATCTTCGTCTCTCTCGATTTGGAACACACAGCTCCACAAAAGTTATACTTCGTTTTATACTCAGAAAGACAGTGTGTGGAATCAATAGACAACAATATCTTGTTGCATTATTTCTTGAAAGCAGTCCCACCTTATCTCTATCACTAATTTTCTATTGCTTTATACCCATAATAATCATGTGTTTAATATCGTAATAAACTATTACAAAACGTGACTCATATTAAATAATTTACCACCCATATCTTTTAAGATATTTTGATCTTTTGGCGTTTGTTGTTGTTGTTGCTGTCTGTTAGTACACCTGTAGATGTAGGTGGCTCTTGGACGACAGAGGTGACAACCGATAATAATTCAAAGGAGTAAGGGGTCGTTTACCTAAACACTTACCTGGTAAGTGTTTAACGGTAAAATGCAACTCTATCGCTTACTAATCAGGTAAGACTTTAGTCTACCAAAACAAAACCGTATGTAACAATTTACTTGGTAAGCGCTAATTGTGTTAAGAGTCGTCGCCATCACTTACCCGGTAAGACTCTCGGTCCATGCCTTCGCTCTTACCAGGTAAGATTCTTGGTCCTTGTTATATTCATCTGGTAAGGGAATATGACTTGGTAAATGCTTACCCGAGTAAGCATTTGGTAAACGGTCCCTAATTTATAACCATATAAGGAATACATCGAGTTCCGTCACAAGGGAGATCGGGTGGCTTAATCACAAACAACTTGGAAAAAAGATTCATTCCATTTAATCTTAATAACATAATTGCATTAACAGTTCGGTATCATCTTTATTGTTCCAGGTTATGGTAATCAACATTTATGCTCTTTTGTGTTTACTCTACAAATTAAAACGTTTACTTTGCGTACAACTAAGGGTGTATGTGGGTTGGGTTGGACGATTTACAACATTTTTACAACTCAACCTAATTAAGACGGTTTGAAAAAATCTCAACCCTACCCCTTCAAAAGTATAACTCAACCTAACCCTTGCGGGTTGAGTCGGGTTGGTTGGGTTGGCGGGTTAGTAGTTATATAAATTTGACGAATGAAATAATTTATAAAACTTTATGTTATAGACCATACTATAAAACGTCTTATCTAAAAAGGTTACAATAGGTTTATAGAATGTTTTTGGACGTTTCAACAAGTGTTTTAGAATGATCTTTAAAATGTCATATTAGTTATTTTATTGAAAATTTTGAGAAATGTCTCGTAAACTCATCTATTTATAGGACACATATGTTCATATGACCCTTTTTCAAGTCGTGTTGTATAAAATAACTAATACGACATCTTGTTTTAAAAGCGTCATAAAATTTGTTAAGACGCCCAAAATCATCTTATAAACATATAGTAACTCTTTTAGATAAGACTTTTTTTTGTTTCGTTCTATAAAGTATCATATTAGGACGCTTAGACATTTTAGACATCCTATAAGATCTAATATTGTTGTAGCGAAATGTTATAACTAAACATTTTCTTTCCACTAAAGTACAACATAAAATGACGGAGTATTTAGATTGATGGATTCGTCAATCAAATATCTATCAATATCATTCATATTCTCTGATATATCAATTTGTTGTTGCTGAAAAAAAAAATCAATAATTTTCTCTTATTAATTAGATTATTTGCCATCATTATTTGATTGTGAATCTCTTTTGATAATGTATACGTTGCTAAAATGAAATACAAACATAATATCAATAAAAATTACATGAAATTTATACATTATTAATATATATATATATATATAATTTTATAAAAATTATATATTAGCGGCGAGTTGGTGGATTGAACGAGTTGAGCTAGGCCCAATCCAATTTCAACTTTCCTAATTTGCGGGTTAGCGGTTTGGTGGGTAAACGATTTAATAAGTTGAATTTAATTGGATTGTTAACAGATTGTATTGGACGAGTTTTGCAAGTTTTTGTACAGTTAAAACGTTGGAAAACTTAATTGAAGGGTTGTGAAGCCTATAAACAAAGTAGGGAAAAAAATGAAGATATTGTGGATTTTGGGTTAAATCTCTAAGTAGAAGATAGGTTTTTACCAAGTAGATATCGCTCGGAATCCACAATTTTCATCGCTTGTACATCTTATATCTGCGTGATGTATGGATGAAATAAACTTGGAATATGATCAAGATATGGATGTGGGGTGGTGGATTGTTGTTGGAACTAGAATCGATGTCTTGCTGATTTCTTGATGCCCCAAAGCTTCAGAGTTAATAAATGTTGGCGCGTTAGAACAACTATGAGGTTGTTTGTTTATCTCTTAATAGTTCCATTAAGAGGCAGATTTTGAATCGTTAAGAGTTGGATCTTGTTAGGCAAAAAAAAAAGTCTTCATTTTAATGGTTCTAAAACCCTCTGAATGATTTTGTATCATGGACCTCCCTTAACTATTCAGCGCCCTGATTTCGTTGTAATTAATTACCAAACATTTATATTTCATTTTGCACTATATAATAAGAGTCTCTTAATCATTCTGATCACTTAATCGTTGTGCTCCAAACCATTCAGCAACTGTCAAACAACCCCTATGTCTACGAGTGTCTTCAATAATTGTTTTATTTAGAGCTTGATTCTTTAGAGATAGACTTCCACGAGTGGTTCTATGAACCGAGGATTTACGGAAAAACGTTTTTTGATGGCATGGTTATATCTTTCAAGTACGAACAAATAAATAAATAAAAATATTCAATATGGTTAATTTTGAAAGTATTTACGAGACCATTATAATGGGGTAACTTGTTAAATAAAAACGTATTTTTAACGTATTTTAGTTAATATACGATTATGTATATTAATATGGTAAGGGTGTAAAACGAAAAATGAAAAAGTAAGGGACGTACCCTAAACTAAATAATTAACTACAAGTGTATAAAGCGTAAGTACTAAAAATATTTTTTTCTATAATATAATTAAATCAAAGAATATTAAATATTGAGTTTATTTCGAAAGTATTGATGCGACGATTATAATGATATAACTTGTTAAAAATAAAACGTATTGTTTAATATATTTTAGTTAATATATGATTATGTATGTTAATATGATAAATATATAAAACGAAAAATGAAGAAACAAGGGGCATAAAACAAATTATTAGATAAAGTGTAATTTAAATTAAAAAATATATTAAAGAATTCGATTTTATATTAATGTGAGAAATTATAGGGGTGACAATAACAAATCCCTTTAGTTTTTATCTGGTGTTGGGCTTTCTTTTGCACCATAAAACCCAAACCACATGGCTCACACTCCATAGTTCATACTCATAGAGAAGAAAATAACAAGATGATGAGTATACAACACCAGTCACCAGATAATGAGTGCAAATGGGCTCAACATCCACATTGAAGAAAAAGGGTCAAGGTCCATTGGTCTTATTCCTCCATGGCTTCCCCGGCCTCTGGTATTCTTGACGTAATTAGAATTTGTATTTGGCGGATCATGGCTAACGAACCGTGGAACCAGACCTCCGTGGCTTTGGTGAAACAATAGGTGCACCGATGAACGACCACACCAAGTTCACTTTTCACCATCTAGTGGATGACTTAATTGGGCTTATATTTATGTTTCATTCATCTCAATAATCACCTTTGAATAAGTATATTAATATGTATTCATGTACATTAGAGTAATATATCAACAACTAACATATGTGTGGATTCATATTGATATATAGATGATGATTTTGTGTACAAGATTATTCCCACACAAGAAAATTTCATTTGATGTTAGTGATATAAGTGTCTCTTATGTAGTCATTATACATATGGTAATTTGACTTTAGATCATAGAGTATGTCGTATATGAGTAGCGTTATTTGGCACTGATTTTGATCATATTATAGATAGATGACAAAATGATTGTTGAGTATGTCATGTATTACATGGTAATGCTAGCATGGACCAACATGAGATTTAAGTGATATCTCGGAGCACTTGATAAAATGATACTGAAGAAACGCATGTATGGTAGATGTGATGTATAACAACCTATGAAACGTTAAGAACAGACCTAAAGAGGGTCAGGCTAGATGGGGTGTGCCTTAACGAAACCAGGTTAACGATGTCGGCCACTTTCCAAATTCTTAGCAACAGAGAAGGAATAATAGCTACTTCCTCTTATTTGGGCAAATGAACTAGTTGGAGTTATCGATAACCAACTTTTTACCCAAATACCTTATCCGAATTGATTTTTGACTCTTACCAACACTTACAAAAGCAACTCGTTATATGTTTGTTCTTTGCTTCTTTTGGTCAAAAAACAAAAACAAAATGAAAACGAAATCTATTTCGAAAATGATATTTCATTAGTTAAAAAGACACCAAATTTTAGACTAATGAAATTGTTTTCTTATCCATTGAATGTCAAAAACGACTTCGATAAGAACAAAACTAGAAACAACACAAATCAAAATCAAAATCAAATCTCATAGAACTATCTATTAATATAATTGCTAAAATGTCATGTAAACAAAAAGTGTTGATATGGTATTTTTAATGTAATTGTTAATATTAAATCAATATTTTTTTTTGTTGATGTGGCATAGATTTGTATAAAAATCTGTGAGTGGATTTTTAATTAATAAGAAACTTATATCTAATAATTAAAAAAAAATTGCTTAAAATTTGGATTTGGTCTCTAAAACAAGTTAGTCATCGTAGTAAATATTTAAAAGGTAAATGAGTGATCTTAGCCTTTCAATTCGCTTTTGACTAGTCAAGAATTATAGCATTAACTGGTCAATAATTGTGGTTTTCACTGGTCAAAATTTACAGCTATATGAAAAATAGAGGGGATGGTTTCGTAACTTTTACAAATAGACAACAAACTATATGTTCATATATTAACCTGTGTCATTCATATATGAACTTTAAATGTTTCGCATATTAACCCATGTAATTCACATATGAACTAACTAACTAATTCACATATGAATCCGTCTGATTCACTTATGAACTAATTAACTGATTCACATATGAACATATAGTTCATATGTGAACCAAATGGGTTCACATATGAACCCGTTTACCGTTTATTTGTAAATGTTACGAAACTATCCCTCTATCTTTCGCATACTCATACGAGGAAGTATCAGGTACTTCACAGTCAAAGCCGCAAATTTAGTCCCTTTATCTACTTTCATTTTTGTAATGGATTTGGTCCCTTTATCTACTTTCATTTTTATAACAAATTTGGTCATTCCTTTTGCTTTAATTTTTATAATAGATTTAGTCCTTCACTATCATATATAACACTAATAATTTTCAACTGGTTAATGTTATATAGCATTTTTATGTATTTGACATACATTAATTTAATTTATCATTTTCTTATAATCATTTTTAGCATATATTAATAATTTAAGTAAATTAGTTAAAGTTATATTTTTACATCTTATTTGATATAATAATTTTTCGTGTATATTGATTAGTTCTAGTGAATTAATTACTTTTATATGTTATTATTTAACATATTATCAGGTATTAGTTTTAATTTTTTTTAATTTTAACTAATTAAAATAAAATATGTGTTGAAATTATATTTTATTTGAGTTGGACGATTTTATGGGAAAAAAATCTGAAAATATAAGTCAATCCATATTAAAATCTCAGTTTAAAAACCTGACTTCCATGAAATCAGTTGTTTTTTGCTTTTTGGCTATATTATAACTTCAAAGATCTTGTATTTATAGCATATTATGATCTTGATAGATTAATTTGGTTGGGTAAAATACCCAATCAATGTGAGTTTGTTTATTTTATTTACTCATTATATGTAAAATATGTATGTTTATCTTACCAAGTTTTTATTGATTAAAAGAATGGTAGATCCTGTTATAAAAATGAAAGTAGAGAAAAAAATGACGAATTAATGAAACTACTTGTCACAAACGATATTATAAGTGACAATATTATTAATATAGACCATATAGCTATAAAATTATTGGGTAAAGATTCTTTTCAAGAAACTTACTTCAAATTTGTATTTAACTCTTAAATATATCAATAAAAATGAATTTTTTCCATTATATTAATAAATTAATGAAAAAGAACTTTTTCCATTATATTAATAAATTAATGAAAAAGAGGTGGATAATGGTTTGGAATTAGGGTTTCTTTTCCTCAATAAAACCCAAACCACACCACAAGCACTTCATAAATCATAATGGAAGGAATAGAGCACAAGACAGTGAGTGCCATTGGGATCAACATCCACATAGCAGAAAAGGGTGAAGGTCCATTGGTTTTATTCCTCCATGGCTTTCCTGAGCTCTGGTACTCCTGGCGTCACCAGATTTTGTATTTGGCGGATCATGGTTACCGAGCCGTGGCACCCGACCTTCGTGGGTATGGTGAGACAACGGGTGTACCGGTGAACGACCACACCAAGTTCACCATCCACCATCTGGTGGGTGACTTGATTGGGCTTCTTGATGCCATCACAAACCAAGGTGAAAAGGTGTTCGTTGTGGGTCATGACTGGGGCGCATATATTGCTTGGTACTTGTGTATGTTTAGACCTGAACGAGTCAAAGCCTTGGTGAACCTGAGTGTGCCATTTATTCCGTGGAACCCCAACGGAGACCTGGTCAAGATGTTGAGAATCGCATACGGGGAGGATCACTATATGACCAGGTTTCAGGTATGTGTAAAAACTTACAGATTTTGCCATTTTAAATCCGATAAGTGCCCAATGTACTCCTGACGCTATGATCTCTAAATTCCAATATCAAATCTGTTTATGATGATTGGATGTATAAATTTATGGTTGTAGGAACCCGGAGAAATTGAAGCCGAGTTTGCAAGATTGGGTACTCAACAAGTTGTTAAAAAGTTCTTGACGTTCCGGGATCCTGAACCTTTTTATTTTCCGAAAGGTAAAGGATTTCGACATTCACCTGGTGATGCTCCCGTCACCTTGCCACCGTGGTTGTCGGAACAAGACGTTGAATACTTCACCACCCAACTCAACAAGACTACTTTTTCCGGTGGAATCAACTACTATCGTGCTTTGAATTTGTACGTTATGCTTAAAATTTCCAATAAATTAATACCAATGCTGCAAGAGGTACGATTTTATAATCAAGAAACACAAGTCTCTAAACTATCTTTGCAGGAACTGGGAATTGACTGCAGCATGGAGTGGTGCAAAAGTGATGGTGCCATCGAAATTCATCATCGGGGATCTAGACCTGACCTATCATATGCCGGGTATAAAGGAATACATACATAATGGTGGGTTTCGGAAAGATGTTCCATTACTGGAGGAGGTCGTTGTGATGGAAGGTGTTGCCCATTTCATCAACCAAGAGAAGCCTGATGAGATCAACAACTACATATTGCAGTTTCTAAATAAATTCTGATAAATTCCCAACTAATTAACATATGTAGATAGCTAGATATACATATGAAGATATAGAATTTGCATGTGGGTATTTGATGTCATTTGAGTGTTTGTTCATCATCCTGTGGTCATTATACATGTACTCAGTTACCATGATCATGGAGTTTGTTGTTTGTGAGTAACATGCTTCGACACTCGTTCTAATCTTAACATAACTGGATGACCAAACGGTTGTCGGGTATGTCATTTATCACATAATAGTGCTAACATAGATACCATGGGATCTGCCATTCTTGTATGACTAGAATGATGTATTTAGCTCCTTTGATATAAATGATATAAGAAATAGACACATGCTTACATAGTCGATATGAGCTATTGATATATGTTTTGTCGTTATATTAGGAAACTAAAAAGTTCCTCTAAATTATTGTACGGACGGAGGTCCAAGGATGCACACATCTTCAAACGTATCTCTTCTGAAATCATTGGAAGATTACATACCGATAGAGATATCAGAATTTCAGGAGAAAGTCGTGAATGTGTTTGTTGATCTTGTCGGGGATTTCTTGAGTGATGAAATGAGCTGCACCTTCTATCACAACGACTTCCTCCAACAATGGAACATATTTGCGAAATCCGCCCTTGTGTAGGTATTCCTTGATGCCTGGGATATTATACACCAAATCTAAGTCGCCAACTATGAACTTTACCGGTACACTTATTTTAGCCTCGGTCCAAGGTGCTTCCAGTTCCCAGTTTCTGCAAATAAGATACCGATGGATGTCAAATTTAACACCTCAGTTTGATCTTCAACAGCAGGAAATATTTAGAGCTAAAAAGGGTCGATTATGACTTTTAAAATCTAAAAGAGGACTCGAACAATGGAATGTGGTAATATCACACGCATGTCTACAAGCACACCGTGATCACCAGGGAGGTACGAATACGATTGATATCCATGGTTTTCCAAGGGTTCAAACAGAATCCGAAAACAACAATACAGTGAATCTCTTTTGCTATCATTGTACTTAATACTTGTATCCAAAAAAAAAAACCTGCATGCTAAATGAAGTCCGTGTACCAATTCCATACTTACACAATTCAAAATTAAAGACTTTGACTTTTCCTTGATCTGGAGGGGTCTCCCCCCTCCCTATCAAAAAAAAAATTAAAGACTTTGCGTTTCCAACGCTATATAATGCTCCAAAAATGAGTTCAAATAGCAACCTCAGATGAAAATATCCAAAAAGAAAGTCAACTGCTTATTAGTAGACACAAAAGCAGGGTAACATTTCAGATTCTTAAAGAATTGCAAGGGAACTTACAAGTCAAAACAACGGTAGTAGTTGATTCCTCCGGTGAAGCCAGTTTGCTCGAATTTTTTAGTGTAGTAATCAACATCTTCTTGGGATAACCAAGATGGCAAGATGACTGGAGCATCATGTGCATCTCCAAAGGGCTTATCTTTAGGGAAATAAAAAGGGTTAGCATCACGGTGTGTCAAGAACTTCTTAAGAACTTTCTCAGTTCCAAGACTAGCAAACACAGCCTCAATTTCTCCTGCTTCCTACAACAAAGTTAAACGTACAAAAGAGGGAAAATGAGAAATTTGAGATCTGGATAATTTCTTCTTTATCATCAAAACCGTAATTGATTTAATCCCAATTCGATCTACTAACCAAGATCAAAGCTTTTATGGTTCTTGACAAATGTATCAGTTCAATGTAACTCAATTGGCAGCAATTTCCCATATAAAAAAAAGAACAGAAAAAGAAACAGGAAGAACAGATATCACCTGAAATTTGCAAATATAGTGATCATCTCCGTAGGCGGCACGAAAAGTCTCTACAGGTTTCCGACGAGGATTTCTTGGGCCGAAGTGAACGCTTAAGTTGACCAAGGCTTTAACTTTGTCGGGTCTAAACAAACTCAGGCGCCAAGCAATTAATGCACCCCAGTCATGCCCAACAACAAACACCTTATCTGCACCAAGGGTTTCAAGTAGTGCGACGAGGTCGCCGACGACGTGAAGAGTAGTGAACTTAGTAGGATCGCGAATAGGTGCACCGGTGGTGTCTCCGTAGCCACGGAGGTCAGGGGCAATGGCACGGTAACCGTGGGCAGCGAGGTAGAGGATTTGGTGGCGCCAAGAGTACCAGAGCTCAGGGAAACCATGGATGAGTAATACAATTGGGCCTTGACCCATCTCTGCGATGTGCATATTGATGCCATTGACGCTTATCATCTTGTGATCTATCCCTTCCATCTTCGTCTCTCTCTCTCGATTTGTATAACAAAAATACACTGCCACTCTTATTCGAAGGCCTCTGCGATTCTTTCTGTTATATACTATATTTTTTTATTATGTTTTTTTTTTTTTTGATAAAATACATGAAGTAACAATTTATTTTAATAACAAAAATTATTATAGTATTTTACTTTTAATTTTTCTTATTACAGCAATATATTTTTTTATCGTACTTTCAAAAATTTACCTATTATATCATTGAGTAATCTTTTTAAATTAAATTTACCTTTATATCATGTTTCTTTGTCACCTCATCGTCCATGTAGGCTATCCACATATACGATAGTGCTCACATGACATTTTTTAATATAACATTGTACTTTCAAAATTATTTATTATTACATCACCAATTTCTATTAAAACATTGTACTTTTAGTTTTAATATTTTTATCATTTAAATATTATAAATTTAATCAAATATATTTACTAAAAATTATAATAAATATTATTGA